GTGCAGAAGCAGAGTATCAAGGAATGGCTCACGGAGTTTGTGAATTATTGTGGATCAGAAGACTCTTGACAAAATTGGGCATCAAGCCAGAAAAGCCAATGGAGTTGCATTGTGACAACAAGTCAGCTATTGATATTGCCCATAATCCAGTTCAACATGAAAGAACCAAGCATGTTGAGGTGGATAGACATTTCATCAAAGAAAAAATTGAGAATAAGATCATTTGCCTGCCATTCATAAAATCAAAAGATCAACTGGAAAATGTCTTAACAAAACTATTTGTGGAAGAGTATTTCATGACTCACTTACCAAGTTGGGCATTGGTGACATATATGCACCAACTTGAGGATGAGTGTTAACGTGAGTCTCCTAATTAATCAAGGAGATTTATTTCCTTGATTAATTAAAGGATTTACTTTCTTATTTTATATAGTTGACAAATCATTTTATAATTAGGAGATACTATCCTAATTGATTACTGTATCTATTTCCTTGTAAAGCACTCATGTAAACTCCTATATATACCTCCTTATGGAGAAGAATAAAACTTAACCAAAAGTATTCAAACCATATTCATATTTTAGCAATTACTTTCATACAGCTGCAACAACAGCATCATCAATTAGCTGCACCAACAACATCATTATTCAACCTAAATAATAGGAAACATCAACAACAGCCTCCATCCTGGCAATATCAACTGAACATCAGCAAATCTTTATTTGGGTACTACTTCCTCTAAATCCCGACTTTCATACATGGTCGGATTTGAGGAGTAACAAACCCTTTTTTTACAGCAGCCACATCGCTGCCTCATTTACAGCAACAATCGTTGCCCTTTTTTACAACTGCCTCATTTATAGCAACAACCATTGCCCTTTACAGCAGCCACACAGTTGCTTTTTACAGCAGCCACACTGGTTGCAACTGGTGGCCCTTTTACAGCATCAACAACCTCATTTACAACATCACCATTGCTACCTCATTATCAACCACCTTTGGGTAATGCCTTTCACAATCTCTTGGGCAAGTTGGGCATTCTAATATCCATCATGCTCAACATGAGGGGGAGTGTTAAAGCGGAACCACCTTATGGGCTACAAGGTTGTAGCCCAATAAGGTTTTCTATTTTTAAATAAAATAAAATAAAATAAACTTGGGGCCCACAATTTGGTCCACTTTTACAGATTTCTTGTGAATTCCTTTTGCTAGGCTGCTTTCTTTTTTGGTTTACACGCCACTTTTGCTTTTTATTTTATTTCAATGAATTGTGTTGTGTGGTTTCCTATTTAATTAAGAAATATAGTTTGACTTCAATTAATCTTAGTTGGTCCCACGTTCATCCTAGTCTAGCTAGAATTCCTAGTCAATCCAAAAAAAAGAAGCATATATATGAAACTTAGTCCTAGGGTTCCATGACCCAAAAAAAAAAAAGACCTAGGGGTTCAAAAGAATACTTGCTGCTGCGTTCTACTTATGTTCTACTAAAAATGAATTCCATCATCCATATGCATGGTAAAGGTAAAGTCCTTAACCTAACTCTCCAATTTTAATTTTTTTGTTGATTTATGTCCATTATTCTTGTGTTTATAATTAATATATATGATAAACTTAATTATTTATATTTATATTTTGCACTTTGTATTTGTGAAGCTTATTATAATGTCACATCAGAATCAGGCAAGTAAAAGAGTAAAAACTATTCATTCATTCTTCAAGAAAAAAGATTATGGTGATAAATTAGACATTAACAAGGCTTCTACATCCAATAATAAGGCTTCACCATCAATTGAGCCACTTCATCACACATTTGCAATAGTTGAACTCAATGAGTTTGATGTTGCTTTTTTGGAACAAGACCCTGGGAAACGTATTCGAATATGTGATTACCCTATTAATCAACGTGATGAGGTTCGACGTGCTTATATCAAAGTTGGACCTTACCAACCAAAACTTTCAGAATATCCGAGGTCTCAGTTTGGATTGCAATATTGTCGATTTCAATATTCTTGGTTCTCACAATTTCCATGGTTAGAGTATTTCCCTTCAGAAGATAAAGTCTATTGTTTTCCATGCTTTGTAGCATATTCTATGATTGTCTACATTGAAAAAGAACTTGCTAACAGTATCGATTCAGATGTTATAACAAAAGATTTCAATTCTCTCAAGGATCGCAGGGCACAACTTGAATAGATACACTTCTAATTATGTTGTTGAACATATATTTATTTTGATCATATCATTTTTATTTTTATTTTCATTTAAAATGTATTTGTTTTATGCTAAATCTGATTGAAAATTAGTCATAACTATGCATTAGCGTGGTTTATATGATTTAATGTCTACTTTATTTTAGCTAGCCTACCCGTCGAAAAATTCATGGTTCCATTGTGTTAAAGCCTGAAGTAAAGTCAGTCATCATCATTGAAGGCAGTATCCCATGCATTAAGGCCACCTCTAGCACAAGGGCCTGGCCCGGGCAAAAGGCAACCCTAAGCCCCAAACCCATCTCCAGCGCACGCAGTCCAACTCGGGCAAGTCGTGGGACCCACTAGCCCAGGCAAGCCCAAGGGCAAAATTTGACCGGGCTATTGCCCTGATGTCACGGCTGGCGCCAACGCTGACAGAAACTAGCGAGAAGAAGCCATGTGGCCCTTCTTGGACGCTCCGATAAAAAAAAATTCAGAAATTCGACGGATGTGATTTTTTTTTTTTTAAGTACCAAAAAAATTTGGATTTTTTCCCTATTAATACATAAAAAATTTATTCACTTTCCACACCAAGTCTTCATACAAACTCTTCTCCTTCCAATATTTTTTACTTTCCACTCAAATTTTTCTACTACTTTCCATTTGTATCAAAAAACAAATAGCCTCTTCCATCGAAGCCGGAGGCGCGTGGACAACTCAGGAAGATAATGTGTTGTGTGAGTATTGGGTGAAAGTTGGTAATTGCCCGATCACGGGCAATGAGATGAAGTTCTCTCATATGTGGAGAAAAATTCATGGAGAATTTTGTGAAAGATCGGGTTCGCCACCGTCAAAAATTGCCTTAGCTAGTAGGTGGAAAATTTTGAATAAAAAGTTAGGGAAATGGAGAGATGCGTTGGCAAAAGCGAGGGACAACATTCGAAGCAGTCAAAATCTTGCTGACAAGGTAAAATATTTATAAATGCCATTTTATTCAATTTAATGTCACTTTTTTTTTTTCTTGCATATTCATTTTTTTTTATATTTTCTTGAATTTCCAATTTGTTTATGTTTTCTTGCATTTCCAATTTTTTTTAATAAATTATGCAAGCACAAATGTGGTTCGGTGCCATGGGCCAAGGCAAAAAAAAGTTTCATGAATCACCAATGTTGGGACGTTGTGAAGAATTGTTCGAGATTCAAAATTATTTCCACTGTTTGACGATAGTGTTGAATGAGACCCCACTCCACGATTCACCAGCAACCGATTCGCCATTGGACTCCCCAATGGATCAAGACTCACCAATCCAACGTGAACCAAGACCTATTGGGAGAAATGCGGTAAAGGCCAAGAGAGAGAGCACTTCGAACACTGACTGTGTACAATTTTTGGAGCAAATTTCTACTAACGGCGCACTGAGAATTGAGAGAGACTTGAAAAGAGAATAAGCGGACAAGGCACGACATGATGCATATGCAATTGAAAGGCAGTAAGCACAAGAACAAGACATGGAGGCCAGAGGGATGAAAATCATGGCCATGGATACGAGCTATATGTCTCCTGAAACAAAGTCCTATTGGAAGCTAAAACGAAGGGATGTTATGAGAAGAAAGCTTTTCCATGACAATGGACCTAGCAACACAGATTAGTTAAATGATCAAAACCATTAGGTTGTATTGAAAGAGTTGCCATACGTATTAATTTGTTGTATTGTTTCCCTTTTATTCAATAAAGAAAACATTAAATAATATAGCTATTTATTAAAAATATTTCATACATCAAAACAAACCTTAATTCATTACAAACCACACACAAAACAAAGCATAATTAAAATCAAACCTTAATTCATTACAAACCACACACAAAAACAAAGCATAATTCCAAACAAAGTATTAAACTTGACTTCATCCACTGTGATTGCCTTTCATCTCCCATAAGTGCTCGATCAAGTCAGCTTGACGTCTCTCGTGAACATACGAAGATTGCATTTCCAATGGTTGTTGTATCGACCATCCCGAATCAATGGTTCGTGCTCTAATGGCTGTCCATTTGCACCCATCGGCCTTTCATAAATTCTTATCAATGTCGTGTTCATAGGATCGGGTTCAAACACCTTTGGAGCATCATAATCATACTCATCCTCCACAATCATGTTATGGAGGATGATGCAAGCCGCTCCAAAGCACCTCCTCATCAAGCATTCGAGCAGCACCCCTAATAATTGCCCAATGAGCTCGCAAGATACCGAAACACCTTTCCACATCTTTCCTATAACCTTCTTGAAAGGCAACAAAGTTTTTTTCCTTATCCGATTGGGGATTCGAAATTGTTTTCACGAATGTCGTCCACCTCAAATAAATTCCGCCGGCGAGGTAGTACGCACCCGAGTATACGGTATTGTTGATTCAATACATGATGTGGGGGGAATGACCTCACAAGACATCGTTGAATACTGGGGATTGACCAAGCACATTGAGGTCATTTTGAGATCTGGCAACTTGAAAAAGGCATGCCAAACCCAAGTGTCGAATGATGCTACGGCCTCCAGAATTACACTTTTTTGGCCCATTCTATTCCCATAATCTCCTTGCCAAGCAATTGGGCAATTCTTCCACTGCCAGTGCATGTAGTTGATGCTTCCAATCATGCCTGAGAAACCTCGAGCCTCGGCTTTTTGTACAAGCCTTTCGGAGGTCCCTAGCCGTAGGTTTGCTGAGGTACTCCCTCGTGTAGAGATTTTCTATTACATCACATAATCTGACCAAGCAACCAAGCACTCTAGGATAGTTGATTTCCCCATCCTAGCAATCTCATCCCAGAAGCCCATACGCAAGCATCTGCAAAGCAGCTATAAGATTTTGCTCCAGAAGAAGACCTAAAACCCCAACAGCATCATACTTCTGAACGAAGTATGTGTCATAATTGCAAACATCATGCATGATTTTTTGGAACAAATGGGGCTGCATTCTATATCTCTCTCGAAAATGAGAAACAGGGTATAACGAATTTGGGATAAAGTAATCTTCCAAGAGATTCTTACCCCGAGAGTGCCTATGTATGTCCACGTTCAGGGCACGACGACGGTGGTGTTGCCTTGATTGATTAAGCATACACACCACTAAAACAACTTCTTCCTCCTCTTCATCCAACTCACGATCTTCTTCAGCACGTCTGCGCCTAATTTCTTCATCTTCTTGTTGTTGCCTCTCTAACACCCTCCTCAGGTTAGACATTGAGAGTAGAATGTGTTTTGTAAAATCTGATAAATGAAAGGATAAAGAAGATATGGTGTGAGAGGTCTGAGTTGAGGGTGTAGTTTTATAAAGGGATTTAGAAAATAGAGATGACACATTGCACAATTTTAGAGGGTGAAAATCTTATCTGAAATTTGAGATTAGAATTTTTTAATAAATATATGAAAATCTTATCTAAAATGAGACATGTGGCGTATTTTTAGAGGGTGAAAATCTTATCTAAAATATGAGATTAGAATCTTTTTAATAAATATCAGAAAATCTTATCTGAAATGAGACACGGTGCAACCGAAAATCTTATCTGAAATTTGAGATTTGAATGTTATAACAACATATGGACACGTGGCAACTGAAAATCTTATCCAAAAATATTATCTGAAATTTTAGGTGAGAATTATATAATAAATAGTGACACGTGGCAATCGAAAATCTTATCCGAAAAGCTTATCAAAATTAATGGTTGAAGTATAAAAAAATAGAAAATAAATTAAAGTGAATAGTATTTGCCCTTACCCTTGCCCTTTGGGGTGGAACCAAAAAAGGCAAGGATGCCACTATTCATGTGAATAGTGACAAACATTGCCTTGTCTTTGCCTTGCCCTTGCCCTTTGGGGTGGAGGTGCTCTAAGGAGCTTGATTGATTCTTGTCTGGTGCGTAAGTCAATGTTTTCTATTTTCGAGGTCTTTAATTACGGAACTCTGTTTCCACTGGCAGGCCCAATACATGCCTACGGTGGGCAGTTGCCCACACTTTAGTGTTTTCTTCACCCATCTAGCCAAACACTTTGCCAATTAAAAAAAAAGACACTTGGCTAATATTTTGCATGCAAAATCCCCACTTAGTAACCTAAATAAGTAAAGCCTTCAAGATTTTAGCCCAAAACATCTCCTATATTGAAAATATCAAGGCCCAAGACTTAATAAACATGTGGTCCAATATATAAAGCCTTAGATTTTGGCCCAAAATCATATATTAAAAAATTATTGAAATAGATTATGTGTTGTAATATATATCGTATTGCTATGAAAACCTAGACTTTGTAGGAGTCAGCTATGAAATTATTTTTTACGCCCTCAGATAGACAAAAGTCTGGATCCGCCACTGTCTATTTCCACACATGTATTATGAAACCTCTTGTATCCTTTCATTTAATCAATTCAATACAAATAGATTATTCAGTTTCTTAACAGAAGTTCAGAACTGGAGTTTCCATTCTTTCTTTGCCAGAATATTGCACGCTAATATTTTGATTTTATTTATTTGTTATTCTTTGTTTTGTTTTTTATGATATATGAATTCCATAAATAAACCAGTTTCAAGAAAGTTATCTCTATTTTTTTGGTATTTTCGTACCAAAATTTTTGTAAAGCGTGTGACTAAAGGAAAGGGCTTGGCTTAGAGATTCTAAAACAAAAGCATTTAGGCCCAAAGTCGCACTTGGCTATAGCCCTTGTGTATAGATGAGGCTCAATAGTTGTTGTCAGTCATATGGACGACGGTAAGTTTCAAAATCAAACAATTGTAAACATCCGTCATTTGATAGTAGTTTAGACAAGTTGGCTTTAACGTAATTGACGAAATTGACATCAAACGATAGCAATTTAACCCTTGAACGTAATTGACATCAAGAACATGCATTTATGAATGGTATAAGAGGATATGGATGACATTGATTGAATTTTAAGAAAGAGTGACGAAAATGACGAGTTTGGAATAATACATGGCATTCCCCCACAGTGGCAGGACGGGCGACGGCACAAGGCCCCTAAAAAAAATAGAGATTCCTATAAAACATTTTAGCCCAGAATAGTAGCCCAAAAGTCCTTTTATATGTCTAACGGATGCTTTTTGAGCTTTATTTTGAAAAAATTAGGCATGTTTCTTTATTTTTCACATAGTGCAATCTTTTACTTAAACTAACCAACTTAGCACTTAAGCTTGGAACCTCAAAAAGAAGTAAGTGTTGAATATAAAAGGCCTCAACTTTTATTTCTGCCAAGTGCCTCCAAAATCAATGGACCGATCAGGGTTGGGAATGAGTGAACAAAAACGCCTTCAACTCAAATTCTCTTACAAAGGCCCTACAGCATCTCCTCCTCCATAACATCCAGCAAACCACAGAAAAACTGCGTAAATTCCAGGGGATATACCCAACTGAGAAGGAGGGTCATGCCTAAGAAGCTTCAACCCAGTCATAGCAGCATTCAAACTGAGAGTATTGAAGTTGTTTGGGGTAACAAGATCTCTTTCTAGACTACTCACAAACCATATATATGCCTCTTAAGTCTTTGTTCCTTGGTTACTTATATGAAGAAGAAAGCATTTGTCTTTAGGAGGCAATTTGGATTTCCATAGGAAGGAACAGCTGGGAATTCTCATTTGGGAAAATTCAGCAAATGGGCAGACTTGACACTGAAGTCTCCAGAAGAAGAACCTCTTGATCCTTTTTCACAGTGAGAAATAAAAACACTACAAATGCTCTTGCATTAAACCAAAATTTCTGAAAGTATAACCAAAGTGATTCAGTATGTTTTTGTTTCATGGAGAAAGAAAATCTTATTAAGAATCACATTAAACTACAGATACTCCGAAAATGAAGTCCTCCACAGCAATAAACAAACCTTACAGATACTCTGATAATCTTATTCAGTACTATGTTGTTTCTAAAACAGATACTCTAATATAGATTAACCAAAAGACCATTTGAACTTTTCAAAAACAGCTGCTTTCGGATCAGCTAGGCTAGAGTCAATGAAAAGTCCCAGAACTCAGAGGACACACACAGAAGCCCAAAGTGTGTTCAACGTTTCATTTCCTTATATCTCGTACAACAACTTGGAGAATGATTTCATATGTTGAGATTGCAGAGAAATGGCCACTGATAAACTTCCATCATTTGTTGCACTTGGTAACACAAAAGCCAACCCCTCATATCCCATTCCACCAGGCCCCATGAAAATAGGTCGACCCCAACCAAAATCAGCATCATAGATCGGCAGCCTAGACCAACTAGTTATTCCAAGTCTCGGGCACCTAAAAGTATGAGCTCCGCGAACAAGGGGTGACAGGTCAGGCTGAAGTTCAAGATAGTCCAGCGCTGATCTAAGATAATCGTTGTCCATACGCACAACAGTATCATGAATACGGCTTGCAGCATACCATGTTGGTTTCGATTTGAGATCCCCTGCTGCAGCAATTGGTGCGCCTGCAAAAACCACATTGCCAAAGAAACCAGGTGGGAGTGGGGGTTGCAGTCTGGACCTTCCATCAACTGCAATATGTAGTTTGGTCTCTTGATCATCAGGAAGTTCACGTGCCACAGATGCACATCTCCAAACATGGCCTGCCAACATCTCATATGTGGTATAGTTGATTGTGTTCCCATCTTCTTTAGACTTGGCTTTCAAGATGTTGAGCTGCTCCCGTGTCAATCTAAAAATGGATACCATTGCGCTCTCATCACCTACAGCTTTTGTACCGGTTTTTATGGGTGGATCAGGTTGGTATTCAATGTGATCGAATGCAGGCTGTGGTGGGTCTCGGGCACGAAGTAATGTCCTGTCGATGAATGGTGGAATTGTAAGGTCAAGACCTCGAGCGATGTCAGACCATGTATTTACAAAGTGGAGACCAGAAAGGCCATCTGCTACACGATGTTCCAGGCCAACACCAAGTGACACTCCACCGCATTTGAAGTATGTGACCTGATGCATAAACAGAGTAAAACCAGAATCATACTTTGTAAGTTTAAGTCATATCAGGTTCAAGAATTGTCTCGGATGATATTATGAGCAAGAGAAATAAAAGAAAGGGTGAGCACTTCCAATTGTATAGTGAGATATAACTTAGCTTCAAAGAATAATCTCATCCAAGTGGCAACAAGTAGATAGACGAATGCAGGTTGGACTGTTACATTTTTCTTGTACAGTTAAAATGGTAGTGGCTTCCCCTTTCCCCCCATTGCACCCCAGTTCAAACCCCAGAGTCCAACTCCAAAAAAAAAAAACAAAAAACACTTCTTTCTTTAATTACCCATAAATAGAAAAATGGAGAATCATGCTTAGAATCAAGATCGGCAGCTAGCGCAACATTTTGTTTATGTAAACATCAAAACTTTTCGCCAGTGGGGTTGAGTGTGCATTAATATTAGTTTCCAAAAGTACTAAAGGCGTAACCAAACCTCGCCAGTGGGGTTGAAGTAAACGGATTTGACATCTGCATATAAATCAGCCAGTTGATATTGAGGAAGAGTAGATCCCATCTAATCATGGGCTCTGCTTCCCTAAAGTACCAAACCTCACAGTTTTTTCGGTTAAAGAGCCTCTATGCAAAGTAGCCCAAGGACATACAGTAAGTAAGCGAAAGCGAACCATTATTGTGGGGAGAAGGGTTTTCACATACACACAGTAGGCTCTTTTTTATTGAGTTAAATTCCGTTGGTTTATCTGCCATCATAATTACTAGGATATTAAAGTGTCGTACGGCTACCGCCTATGTGGTGAAAAATAGGCAATAATTGTTCCGAAATACATATTTTAGGAATTACCTGATGCAATAGCTTTCTCTCATCTCTTAGCAACTTTAGGTGCGACATAGTTAATAATTCACCACGTATATTAATATAGGCTGTCGATATAGTTAATATTTTTCCAATCTATTGTTTAGGGGATAAGTTTAGGTCAAGATCAAGTAATGAAACGACACTAGCGATCTTAAACATACCTGCAACACCAATAGGGGATAAGTTGATATCCCTGTCGAATAATCAACGGCTGGGATAAGCTTCCGGAACTCGAGAGTCGGCGCAAAGTCCCCGAAATCGTCGATGGTGGAGCCTGTCTCCGCCACGACAAACAGCGCACCCTCAGCATTGCAGTCGATCTCGCTGCGGCCGTTGCCGTCCTTCCCGAGGCGCCCTGCCAACGGGTAGAAGGGCACGAGGGCCTTGCTGAGGGCCTGCTTGAGCACCTGCGGGTCG